TGCCTGCTTTCGCCTTTTCCAGATGCCTTGTGGTTGGACTTGTACAGCATCCAGCCTTTGCAGATCGGCTTCTTTCACTGAGTCACGCGTGTTTAAGATTCTTCCACGTGTTTTCATGGCTTGACGGTTCGCTTCTTATTAGCACTGAATCACGCTGCATTGTAGGATGGACCACAGTTCGTTTGTCCATCTGCCTGCTGAAGGGCATCTCGGTTGCTTGGGTGTGCAGGTTTTGTGCAGACGTACGCTTCCAACTCCTCTGAGTGAATACCAAGGGGTACGACTGCCGGATTAAATGGCAAGGCTATGTTTAGTTTTGTAAGAAACGGTCAAAATGTCTTACGAAGCGGCTGTACGGTTTTGCATTCTACCTCCTCGTCGACGCTCGGTGGTGTCAGTTTTTCGGATTCTAGCCATTCTAATAGGAGTGCAGTGATCATTCGCTGTTTTGATTTGCATTGGCCCTGATGACATATGATGCAGAGCACCCTTTCACGTGCCTTCTGCCACCTGCGAATCTTCTTTGGTGGGGCGTCTGTTAAAGTCTTTCGCCTATTTTTTAATTAAGTCGGTTGTTTTCTTATTGCTGAGTTTTAAGAGTTCTTCGCATATTTCGGATGACCATCCTTGATTACACGTGACTTTTGCAAATAATTTCTGCCATCTGTGTCTTCTCTTCTCATTCTCTTGACCGCGTCTTTCGCAGAGAAGTCTTTAATTGTCCTGACGCGCAGCTTACCCGTCATTTCTTTGACGGACTGTGCCTCGGATGTTGCAGCTGGAGTCACCGCCACACCCAAAGTTGTCTAGGTTTTTCTCCTGCGTCATCTTCGAGCAGTTTTACACTTTTGTGTTTCACGTTTCAGTCCACGGTCCACTTTCGATTCATTTTTGCGAGGGGTGCGAGGTCAGCATCTAGATTGATTTTATTTTTTTACATGTCCGTCCGGGTAGCCTGGCACCACGTGCTGAAAAGCCATCTTCAGTCCATCGCGTTGCTGCTGCTCCTGGGCCAAAGGTCCGCTGACTGTTTGGGGGGGGGGGCTGCTCACGTTGTGGCTGGGGTAACAACGCGGCTTCGAATCTCCCCGTGAACAAGTTTTTGTGTGGTCACACGTTTGCAATTCCTCCGGTGTACGTCTAGGAGAAGGACCGCTGGGTCACGTGGTAACATTATGTTTAACGGTCTGGGAAACTGCCAGGCTGTCTTCCGATGTGGCCTCACCATTTTAAAACCCCACCAGCCATGTCCGGGGGGCCCAGTCTTTCCACATCTTTTATTATCTGGCTACTTTAGTTTGGTCACCCCAAGGGCTGGTTCCAGGGGTAACGGGCCGTGATTTTGATTTACGTTTCCTTGGTGACTAAGAATGCCAGCATCTCTCGTGAGCTTATCAGCCATTCGTACATCTTCTTTGGAGAAATGTCTATACGGATCATTTGCCTGTTTCGAAATGGGTGTTTGTCCTTTTTATTACCTCATGAGTTCTTTATGTATTCTAGGGGTGAAGTCCAAGTATGCTTTTTGGCATTCACACTAAAGGGAAGATTCTTTACGATGTAACTCTTTACAATTTTAACTCAGTATGAATAATACTGTTTGGGGAGCATTGCCACTACTTGTATTTGAAATTTTGAACTGACAGCATTAACATTCCAGAATTATCTTGCTGTGCTACCCTAAAAAGCACAACTACCCTACCATTTTAAGAGAAAAGATAAAGTTTTCTCCCATAAAAACAGCTTCAGATAATTCCAAACATTTATAAAGTTAGAATCTAAGGATCTAGCTAATCATTTGTGGTGATTTTAAAAAGTCCACAAATCGTTTGACCCACTTCCTTGCCGAAGGGACTTCACGTCCTACCCCTCGAGTGTGGGCTGGACTCAGTGATTTGTTTCTAATGAACAGAAGTAATGTTGTCACTTCAAGCATGGCTTCCTCCTCGCACGCTTGAGCTGCCCGATGCAAAGGCCCACGCGGTGAGAAACTGACGCCTCCTGCCAACGGCCACCGAGTGTGCCGTCTCAGAAGTGGCCCGTCCAGCCTGTCCAGCCTTCAGATGGCACAGCCCCAGCTGACATCCTGACGCAGCCTCCTAAGAGACAGTGGGCCAGACCCGCTCAACCCAGCCGCTCCCAAATTCCCCACTCACAAAACGTGTGAGATTATACATGTTTGTTGTTTCAAGTTTCCAGGTAATTTGTCAGGCAGCAATCGGTAACTAAAAACAACATGAAAAAGAATAAAATCGGGGAGTAAATGTTTTTCTTGGCAGAGGTCCCACAGCGCCACACGAAGAACATCTACAAAACATTCTGAAAACTGCATTCTCTCCGTGATCTAATTCCCAGGAACAATTTTAAAACGCTACACTTCAATCAGGGGTTCTTCGTAAAGTTTTTCAGGGAGGCTGAGAAGTCCCTAAAACTACATCCAAGGTTTTGTGTGTAGGGTCGTCTTTTTCCGCGACAGGGGAGACCACACGTTTCTAAGATTTTCGCGAGTTCCGTGACTCCAGAAAACCAGTCACCACTCCTCTGAAGCATGACAGATGCTGTCTTAAGTCCCACGGTGCGACACCGCGCCCGGGGGCGGGGGAGCTTTACGTAACTCGCGTAAGCTTACCCAGCGGGAGAAGCCTTTGGCGCACTTGGGGCACTCGTGAACGGTCGGGGTGAAGTTCGTCTCGTGGCATTTCTTGACGTGGACGTTGAGAAGCTGCTTCTGCCGGAAACATTTGCTGCAGAAGTGGCAGATGAACGGCTTCTCTCCCGTGTGGGTTCGGGTGTGAGCCGTCATGTGACGCTCCTGGGTGAGACCGGGAAGAAAACAGACGGCTCAGCTATTGCCAGGGATTTTTATTTTTTTTATTTTTTGGATGGGACATTTTTGATCATGTACCTTTTTCCTCTCCCTCCCTAAGGATGAGCACACTATTAAGAAAAATGTAAATTTTATTTCTTTTATTTAGAAGCCATGATTATTCAGAGGAGACACACGTGATTATTCAGACGTTATAAACAGCATGACTGTTAATAACCCGACAGTCTCTCCCAGGACACCCTCTTCTCTGCACACCTGTCCCCTCATCGCCCCTCCGGGGGCATGACCTGGTCTCCTTGCTGGCGATCAAGGTCCACCCCGGGAGCCAGGCTCCTCCCAGGACCGAAGTGCTCAGAGCGCCCGGCGGTGCCCGGCCTCGGCTTCTGCCTCGGGCGCCCGGCCTGCCCTCTGCTGCACGAACACCTGGCCCTTCACTCTCCCCCGCCCCGGCCTCCTCTCCAAGTCCTGCCCAGCTCCCCGGAGCCTCTCCTAGTTCATCCGAACAAACGGGAGCCTGCGGCTTAGAACATTCCATGGCTCA